GAAATGCAAATTTTATGATTCGGAGTCACACGCATAACAAGCATTATTTATAAATGTTTAAAATAAATTTTTAAAAAAAGTGTTACTGCAAGCTATGGAGGGTTGACTGAATGTAAACAATGATAATCTTCCTAAATCCAAAAGAAATTTAAAAAAAAACTTCCGTGGCATTTCTCCGCTTATCGTGTAAATTGGCTGGGTATTCAAGGAAGTTTGCTTAAATGTACGCGTAATTTTAACATTCATAAGAGTTTTCTGTCATTTAAAAATTCTAACTGGTCGTGAGCCTAAAATTTTTTTTATAAAATTAATATCAAAACATAAATAAAGTGTAAGGTTTTTCACATGTTTTGAGTATTATCCCTTATTTGGCTATATTAGTGTAAAATATGGATGTTGGTTATTTTTTTGGATAGCATCATAGCGTGCTTGTGAAGTCTTCCTAATTCATTTGTTGTTTGTTTTGTTGAGATTTAAATGTAAAAGACGCTTTATATTGTAAACACTAAAAACATTGAATAGCGCGCTCTTTATGCGTAAAAATCAATCGGAAGTAGTAATCCGGAAGTACTACAACGAGTTATAACCCCTAGCGCTATCTGTACTTAGATTTACAGGGTCAATCAGCAATAATATTGGGTTTCTAGTGGAAGTAAGGGCAAACTTCCATTGCGGTAGCCCAAGAAGGCGATTACTCCCAACACTATCGCTGTACGACTTGTCATTGTGGGACCAAGATAAAAGTTTTGTAGCTTTCAATCAATAAAATATGCTAAGTAGAAGGGCAAAATACAACAATTAATTCACTACTTTTAAAATATTAAATGATTCCCTCTGACCTATCGATACTTTAAAATGTGCAGAGAAAATGTGTGTCATTTCTAAAAGTGCTATCCCAAGTACTAAAACGTTGGAAATGACTGACATAAGCGTAAAAACTAATAGTTACTCTCATGTTCACTTTAATGAACAAAATTTCATTATTTTTTTTAGCCTATTTATACCATTCTAACTGCCTGTTTATAAGTCATATTGTGGAAAGAGTATAAAATAAATACAGTGTATCAGTTTAAAATTGGCCTCCATTTGTGTTAAAACGAGCGTGAGTTGGGAAAACAAATATAAAACGAGAAAAAATAATATCAAGTAGTAGTTGAGTTTCTTTATGACGGCTTATAGTGGCTTTTTCCAAAAATAGTTAGTTAAATAGGTAATTCCTATTTAAAAGTCCGGGCTAAAAAAGAAACCAACAACGAAACCTAATTATTGAAACCGCAACCATAAAAATTATTTCCATCCATTAGCTATGTAGCTTAATCGAACGCAGGTTAGTATTTTGGGAAATTTTTTTTTTAATTGTGGAAAAGTAAGGGGAAAAAAAATAAAGCTTTATGTGTCACTTCTTGTAAGATAGCTATGATGATGCCGGAAGTGAAACTAAAAATAAGTTTCGCTTTCTTAAATATGCTAGTAAAAAACATCTGTAAAAAGGGATCTGGCATTTGCGCGACCGACAACCGAATATTTACATTTTCACGCAGGCAGGTCTTTCTGCTGTGCGCAGAGCCGAAGATGATGGAGAAATTTTAATGTATAAATGTTTGTGTTCGTCTCTTAATGTGACTATTGTAAATGATTAAACTTTTATTTATGATTGCGTAATGATAAGTTGATATCATAGAGTAGTTTTACATCGATCTAATTCTGGATATGGAAGATTTAAAATTCAGCAAACAGCTCATACCTTCACTAATTTGTGGCCTTGCCTGTTTTATATCGGGTAAGTAAAATGATTTATTTAATTTAATTTTAAGTTCCTAATAGTGATATAACTAAAAATATTCGTTACTAAATAGCTTATAATGCCTGTGCACCTTTCAAATTGATTTTGGCATTTCAGATTTAATTTTAATACACCCAAACTAATCAGTTCCAGTTATGAATTGGTTGTTTACAAATATAATTTTGTAGGGATAATTTTTCAAATCTTATATGACTCTAAAAAAGCTTATTAAAACAAATTTCAGAATATATAATAGTGTATAATTGATAATGTTAAATACTGTTCACATTCAAATTTTGTTTGTACACAATTTTAATCTTTAAAACATTTTACATAAAATATTTGGTTTAAAAATATTAATATTTGTTTCATGGTTTTAATGAAATTTTTGAGCTTAGTATTGTCTGTAATACGCATATTAAAAAAAAGAAGTTTTTGCTTCCTAAAATAAATATAATATGTATCTGTATAGAATTTTGAAGTTTTATTTTGAGAAACCAATTTTATTTAAACTATGTTATATTTCTTTTTAAATACCCAGTACATTTTTACATTCAGTTATATTATTGTTTATTTTACTATTGACGAGGTAGTTAATGGTGTTTATACTTAGAGTTGCGCTTTAATTTACAATAATTAAAGTACTTATTTTTATGAAATAAAAATATATACTTCTATTATTGTTGTAAAGTAATGTCACAATAAAATTCAAAATATTTACCGAAACATAAATAGATTGAAAGTAAAAGTTTTAGATTTTTTTTAAGGAAGAAAAAAAAAATTATTTTTAATTTTAATTAATGTAAGATATTTAATAAATAAATGAAATAAGGAAATAAATTGAGAAAAGGGGTTTAACATTTATGAAAATATAAATAAATTTAATTTTTACTTGTAAGCTGTTTAAAATTTTATTCTTTTTTTATCAATCCAATTTTGAATGACCATAGCTGTCAATATTATGCATAATAGAACAGTACATAAAATTTTGAAGTATCTGCACAATGTTATATCATTGTTAATGATTAAATATATATGTATGTATATTATATAAAATTATACTTAGTATGATTTTTTAAATCTATGATTATGTTATTTGGAATGTTTTAAGATTAATTTTTCTTTCATTATTTGTGTATAGTTGAGTTTAAAGGGATATTTCTGTATTGCGATCTGCCACACCAACTACAATCGCAAAGGACCTAAATTGATTTTAAGCTGTAAAAAATTTTTTAAAAAAAAAGCATATAGAAGTTTCTCGAGGGTGGTTACGAGTTATACCCTTCGAGCGAGTTATACCCTCCTATCTGCGACATGTTTTTAAGTTTCTCCTAGGCCGCTGCCCGGAAGTGGCCAAGACTAGGTGATTATTCTGCCATAGATCATGATACAGAAATCTTCCCAAGAGGCACAAGGGGATTAGTTTCTTTTAAAAAATAACTTATGCCCACATAGGTTAGTCTATTTCAGCAATTAGTAGCTTTTTTTTTAGTGTAAATCATTACTTAACTTGAATAAGGTAGTAGGATAAAATGAAATCTCTTTTTTATTGTTTTTATCTTAATATTGTACAAAGCTAATTTATTAAAATGGTTTCAAAATATTTATCGAATTCTACAGTTTTCTGTCTTTTTAATAGCATTGATGATTTTTCTTAAATTGAAGTGATTGGTGCTGTATTTGATTTGAATTGTAAAATTTCACTTGACTAATGTCTAAAGTTCATTAGATATTAAAAGTAATGACATGTTTTCATTCCTTCAGTTGTCATCAGTTCTGATTTATCAAGTACAACGTATGTGAAAAAAGGAGGTGAATTCATCCTGCTGTGCCAGGTACGCGGACTGGATGGCGTGCACCTCTGGTATAAAGATGGAAAAGCAATAAGAGCCGATTCCATTAACAAATATCATCTGGAAGTGGGCTCTCTTCAATATAATCTAGAAGAGAAACAGTGGTTTTCAATAATGAAATTAACAGTGAAAAATGCTGATTCTATTCACACTGGTGATTATAAATGCAATATTACTGGCGATCATTCTCAGCACGTCATTGTAGTCACAGGTGAGATTGTTCCACTTTTTAAAATTTTTGTTCCTCTCTTGTCTTAATGGGTGTTTCTGAATATCTATGTATTTTATTAGAATTTATTATTCTGAATTTTTTCTGGAAGAATATTAAATATCAAAATTAAGATTTTGATTCAGAATTTTGGTTCCCATTTATGATTTTAATAACTGTGCTTTATTTGCTTCAGATTATTCTAACTAATGTAGATATAACAAATAGATTTTAAAAGAATGTGCCTAAAAATTTCAGTATGTTTGTTCTCTTTGGAAAGAATGTGCTTTTACAAAAGTGAAAAGTTTTGAAAGCGTGTTGTCTTTTATTTCCATTATTATTTTTATTTATTTCCTCAGGAAAAAAGTCAAGGACATCACGAAGACAAAAGAAAGTTATGCTTCAGTGGTTCTCCTGTTCTCTGAGTTGAGGATAATGACCCTCTTTTAAACATATTGTCTTTGAATATTTATGGTGTACATAAAAAGTATTTTAATTGAACTTTGTTCCGTAATAATTTGTTTTAAAATGAATTTAAAATTATCATTCTTCCGAAAGAAGTAAAATTTCAAAGATGCTATATCTTCAGTGGGATGCGAGGGTATGATTCATGATTTGGGAGTTTTGAATAGAGAAAAGCTTTATCATGTTAAAAACTATATATGTTGTATTTTAAATCATTATTAGTATCTATTAGGATGAAGTTTATTGTCAAAAGCAAATTTTTTTGATGATTCTATTTTACAATTTTTTTTTTTTGATATGCATAAAAGTTGTCTTTACTCATAGGATCTGCTGCCTGTATCAGAATAAATTTACTCACAATTAAATATTTGCATAAATTTTATCAATTTGAATCTATTTATGATCAAAAAATGTATGGAAGTAAGTATTTTCAGTGTGACACTTTTTTTTAAAAGAATTAATATGCTGTACATTAATTATTTTGTATCAGAATAAATTTACTCGCAATTAAATATTTACATAAATTTTATCCAATTCAATCTATTTATGATAAAAAAATGTATGGAAGTAAATCTTTTCAGTGTAACACCTTTTTTTAAAACAATTAATATGCTGTTCATTAATTATTTTGCTATTGAACTTATTTATATAATTCATTTATTGCAAATATCATAAATGTATTTATTTTTAGGTGACATGATAGTAACTAATGAAGAGGAACCCGGTATGGGGAAGTTGCTTACACCTGGTGAACCTCTAATACTGCAGTGTAGTACATCTGACTGTCCTCAATGTAAGATTATATGGTAAGAAAGGACTTTTTACAATGTCAATTATATTATGTTATTCCCTTATTGAAATGAACTGCTGTATAGTTTTCATAATTTTTAGTTGATAAAAAATATGTAATAAATACGGTCAAACCTTAGTATTATAAGCTTAAAAGAAGCCGCTCTATATTTTATGGCTTAAAATATCATTTATGTTCAATGTACAAGATGTCAAACGTCATAGTATTTTTAACTTCTTATAATGTCTTTTCATTTGCATAAACACTTAGCTGAAATTCTTTAGCTTCATTATTTTCCTTTTATTTTATATCTTCCAATCAGTGAGTCCATTTACAAACTTTAAAACATCAAATATTGCAGAGGAGACATGAAAAACATGAATAATTATTCGTCCCAAGGGATGCAAAAATCTTCATTGCAAAGTAAATAAACAGAATTATAACCAAACTTTAGATGTTTTTATGTATAAAAAAATTCTTTGTTTTGTTCATCAATCGATAGAATGTGCAGATTGTTCTTCTAATTTCTAATTCCTCGAATCTCGAGACCATTGATTCGCGGTAAATGAATAATTTATATTTCGACAAAATTTTCTCAGAGTTCTGCTTTTCTAAAATTTAAATTTCGTTACATAGCCAAAATCTTGTTGACGAGACATTTATTCTGCTCTTACCAGCACCCTCTTTTTTTCTTTTCTTTCTGGGTTCTCATTCTCGAGCCTTGACCTTTTTTTTTTTATTTACATAGTTTTGATAGAGAAAAACACAACTTTGGATCAACTTCGAAAACACGAAAATTGGATCATGTTGAAAATTAGATAAAAAATTGTCCTAGATTCATAAAATTGATTATCTGTGCTTAAACATCTTTTGAAAAAAATCAAAAGAGATAAGGAAGAAATTTTTTTTTTACCTGCAGTCATCAAAGAAAGTCTTAGTAATACACAACCATTTATATGTTTTATTTTCTTTTAAGTTTTGCTCTAAAAAAATACAAGAATTAAATATGAATACATCAATAGATCAAAATTTTGCAAACAATGGCAAACTGTATTAAAAATGTTGTATGGTTATCTCTAACAATAAATAGTTTGTGATATTACTTAAGAATACGTTTAGTAATTGTAAAATTAGTAATTTTAGTAAGAAACCTTTATAAATTCTTCCAAAGTTTAGAAAAAATGTTTTATAGCAATTAAAGATGGTTTGGGAAATCTAGGTCCACCAAAAAAGTATTCGGATGAAAAATATTTTTCTGCTATCTGAATAGCAAAAGCATGAACACCTATGTAAATTCATATTATTGAAGTTCCTGATTTTAATGTTTGGTGATATTTTATTTCATGAGATAGTCTGGTATATATATATATATACAGAGGTCTGTACAGACCGAATTTACTACCGTTTAGCGGTACCTTCAAAAATTCAACTTTAGGAAAAATAGTAGTTTCACAAATTTAATTTTAGGAAAAACGGTAGTTTCACAAAATACTTCTTCTTAAAATTTTATTTTTGTATTCCTTAAGAAATGATAAATCCATATTCTTGCCATATTTTTGTGTTGGATTTTTAAATATAATTTTTAAGTTTTCACAAATTATGTCTAAATTTTCACAAAATATGTACCTCTCAGAAAAACCTAGACAGACCCCTGATATAGTTACAATTAAGCAACTCGTTGAACAGACTCCATTTTTAGTGTCATGGTGCGTAGCGTTTTTAAAAAGTAGTTACAGGTGCTTAGTTTCAATTTTTATTTTTAAAAGCCCTTAAAGGTGCTTTTTTCATTGCGTCTTTTTAAAAAGTGCTTAATTTTCCCTTTTCCAAAATAATAATTTTTTTTCTTTACCATGTCGATTTTCGCCACGTATTGCGCAAAAGCATGCTTTTCACATTATTCAATGTTTTCACTATTCATTCAACCACGATTTATTTCGGTGTACCGTCAGTCCATAACGTATGAAAGCGTCAATCATTTTACATGTTTGATGAAATGCTTAAGAGTCTGCATGTGTGTATAATGAGCTGGGTTCGGGGAGATTATTGCACTCTCATGTGCAACTGCTACATTTTGCAAGATATTCTATATTTCAGGCTTCATTTTTCACCCTCTGATTGATATTGAATCGAAAAATCTCTCGATCATCGTATAATGGCTAATATGATCAGGAAAAGAGTTCTTTGTCAGAAACTAGTTATTTTATCATAATCATATAAAGTCTTTAAGAATTATTTTGCATTTTGTTAAAGTATGTAGTGCTTAAAAAATACTTGCTTTTTGCTGAAGGATTTGGCTACACATCCTGAGTGTGCTTGTGCAGTCCTATTTTTAAAATAGTTTTGATTTTTTCATTAGATTTTTCCTTTTAATTTACCATTTTTTTTTTCAGTGTTAGTACTGTAAGTGTGATTTTAATTCGTTTGAGATTCTAAATAAAGTTTATTTGACTGCAAACTTTTTCGAAGTTTTAAAAATACAGCTTCAACAATTTAGCAGCTAAGTTCTATAGAACACATTTAATCTATACATAATAATAAACGCGGCTGTGTGTGTGTGTGTCTGTAATCACAANCTTTTTCGAAGTTTTAAAAATACAGCTTCAACAATTTAGCAGCTAAGTTCTATAGAACACATTTAATTATGAATAAAATGAAGCAAAAATGTAAAAAAAAAATATTAATTAGTTACTTAATAAATAACGAAATTATTATTTTATACCTTGAAAAAAATAATTAGGGCCACAGAAACAGGAAAATTGTGGATAATAGGGAATTAAATCAATCTTAAAAAATTAGGGAAGTGCCTAAGAATTGAACTAATATTCCCAAACAGTTAAGGAAAATTAAACAATTTGACTTAGAGGTTTTAATGTTTATTTATAAAAAAAATTGTCATAGCAATTTTTAAAATTTTTTTTTATTTCCACATCTAATAATAAGGATTGATATATATTCTGCATGCATATTATGTGTTTCTTATATTAATAATTATGGTAAAACTGAAAAATTTATTTAAAAAAAAGTATACCACTGCTTATAAAAATCATGAAAATTGACTCAAATCAGCTTAAAAGAAGAAAGGAAATTTATTTTCCATTAGTTTGTGGCCACCCTGGAAAGGCGTGTCCTCAAAGCATTTCTTCTTATTTTTACTCGCGGTTTCAAATCTGTTTACATTAATTGTCTTACAGCATTAATTCATTTTAAACCTTTTTCTTTTCTTTTAGGCAAAGAAATGGGGAGCCTTTATCTTCAATTGACAACCATATAGAAATACATGACAAAAATAATTCAGTTGTAATCAAGAGTGCCACTTATAATGACACAGGTGTTTATATATGTGGCATTACCCATGGGGATCTAAGCATTTCTGTGAATGCTACTATTGTTGTACAGTGTGAGTATCATTATTATTTTTTCCTCGTTTTTGTTTTCATTTGAAATAAATGTATAATAATAAATTTAATAAGACAGTTATTTAACTTGAAACGAGTCGAACACACTCTTTATTGTTGTATTTAAGTTGTTGAAAAATGACAGTGATTCTGCTTGCTTATTGTATTGCTGCAAATGTGTCAGAAATTATATAAAAAAAATGGTGTGCTGGCAAAATTATAGCCAAACTTATAAAATTTATTATTTTTCTTTTTTAACAGTAGCTCAAGAAGGAAATTAAAATAATTTTGATATCCTATTACATTGCATTTTTTGATGCAGGAGTTAGATAAATCCTAATCAAAAGCTTTAATTGTTCAATTACAACTCTTTTCTTGTTTTGAAATTTGTTTTGTCAATCAATATTATCATAAATGGGCATATTAATAGGTGAATAAAGTAGCGGAGAATTCATCTTTGAAATAGGGGACACACAAGAACCCGAAAGTCCTTCATTTCCAAAGCCTATCAGAATCACTGAGTTCTGTTAATTTAACATAGTGTGGAGATATTTCATTTTTTTTCTCTAAAAAGAAACTTTTCATGCTTATGATTTAGTGAGAAAGTTTTGAATTGTACATAAATCATTATACAAACTTGCCCGAATAAGAAATGCTTCGTTAGTTAAGATAGTTTAGCTTTTGTAAAAATTTGTTTCTATGATGACAAACATCAGAATCAGATTTGAACTGTTTAAAGCTTGGAATGGTAAAATTCAGAAAAATAATTACTAAAAATAATTTCAATCGTACCGTAGAGACCCGAATATCTACAAAATCGAGTGGTAAGGACACCACTGTTAACAAAAATTGCAGTTAATAATTAAAAAAGTACAGGGGTAACACGAAAAATAATTTAAAAGTGTATTCATGCATGTGTATATATTTTAAGCATACTCTTGTGTTGTATGTTTAAATTGTACGTTCTATGTCTAAATCAGTAAAACAGAAGAAAGAAAAAAAATAGTACTTGCATACTTCGTGAAAGTGGGCATGCATGAAAGTTGATGTATCAGGATGTTTAGTTATTTGTAAGATTCACACCAGCAATGAAAATTTAGTAGTTCATTAGGACCATCTAGGTATTCATTTAGTGCTCTTAATATAATAGACAAACTAGAGAAAAAAAATCAAACTTATACATAATTCATGTTATGGTACGCACCAAAAATGATCAATTGTAACTCTCTAAAACTCCCTAAAACTAATTAGACTCTAATCTAATTATCTTATAATTAGTTTAAACTAATTATCTAGTAATCTTAGGTTAAAACTAATCTGTAACTCCCTAAAACTAATTAGGTTCATTACCACCCATAATGATTGAAGATTGGTAAAATGGGTATAAAATCAAAATATTTATTTTTAAAGGTTCTAAAACGGAACTATTAAATGTATTTTACTGAAAATTTTTATGCATTTTATGTATAAGTGGATTCATTAAGATTAAATAAAGGATAAATCAAAACTTATCTATTTTGTTTGATTGTTTTCTTACAGTAATACATTCAAAAGAACATGTTTTGATATACTCCCTTTACCCCAAAGTGGGTATAGTTCTAAAATTAATATATATTTTACATAAAACCATCAGTTAATATTGTTTTATAAATAAAAATGTTCTTAAATAACTGTATCATGATTATATTTTTTAAAAAAATAAATGCAGAAATTTTTTGGGCTCATATTATCAAATAAAAGAATAATGTCCAATGCTATCAAATTAGGTTTCACTTTGGATGCATTATAATTTGCTGAACTCTACACAATTTCATTAAAAAGCTGGAAATCTGTTATAGTTTTTGGTTTATTTGAAATATGCATGAGAATGTAATATTATAGTGTCAATTTAAAGTGTTTTTACTACTTATAGCAGACATGTAATTTTATTCAATTTAGTTATTTTAAGGAAATTGTTTTTTTTAAAAAAAAAGTATGAAAAACACTGTCACATGAAAGCAGATACTTGTGTTAAAACTCATCCAGTTAGCATATGCTCACTAAACTGTACCATTTATGCTATTTTGATTTAAAAAAAAAATTTATTGAAATATATATTATATGTCTGTTATATTGTTATCATTCTTCTCTTTGAAAAATAAAATTTAAAAGAAATATTTTCAGTGTTAAAATGACTAAGTAAGGCTATAATCAAACAACTAAATTATTCATTGCAATTATTAAGAACTATTTCATTGTGAAATATAGAGCATTAGACACTTTCTAAACTAATGCGGAAGTTTAAANATTTTTATTCAATTTAGTTATTTTAAGGAAATTGTTTTTTTAAAAAAAAGTATGAGAAACACTGTCACATGAAAGCAGATACTTGTGTTAAAACTCATCCAGTTAGTATATGGTCACTAAACTGTACCATTTATGCTATTTTGATTTTTTAAAAAAATTATTGAAATATATATTATATGTCTGTTATATTGTTATCATTCTTCTCTTTGAAAAATAAAATTTAAAAGAAATATTTTCAGTGTTAAAATGACTAAGTAAGGCTATAATCAAACAACTAAATTATTCATTACAATTATTAAGAACTATTTCATTGTGAAATATAGAGCATTAGACACTTTCTAAGCTAATGCGGAAGTTAAAAAAAAAATCCCTATTTTACATTTAGGTAAACCTAACCATATGCCCACTTTACCCCTCCTCAGAAAACAATTCATTATAAAAAGAATTTTGAAGTGTATTCTTAAATTTCTGTGTAGATCTGCTCTTTAGATGTCCCTCTACCAGTTAGAACTAAAACTAATAGTTTTTGACAGTTTTTTAATGATATTAGAAGAAAATTCATCAACTAATATACTGTATAAGTTGATCATATACAGATAGTTGGTAAACATTACATTTTTGATCATTTTATAAAACAGTGAAAGAAAGCTGAAATAATGTTAATTGATAGATTCAACATAGAGATTAGAATGATCAGACCAAATAAATAAATAAACTAGGAAAACAGATCAAGTAAGAACTGAAAAAATATATAGTAAAAATTAATTAACTGAAAATTATAAAGTTTTACTTTTAAAGTTAATTTTAAAAGAGTAAAAAGTATTATTTTATTAATGAACAATTATTCTGTCTGTTCATGAGTGTAAAGAACTGCATTTTGTGTACCAGACATTTTCAGTTATTCCTTTTAAATTCCATACCACGCCTAGAACAATAAAATGAGTACAACAAATTTTCTTTTAAATACATGGAATTTAATGCAAAAACTTTTTTTTTGTTACTATTTTGCAAATTCCAAACATATTTCAAATTTGTGGAATAATATTGCATATTATTTCTCAGATATATGTGAAATAATATATAGCAAATTATTTCACAAATTTGTCACCCATGTGTATGATTTTAGCGACACTTATAGTGGAACATTTGGCAGCAATTTCCACCACACTGGCATAAATCCTACTTATTAAAAAAAATTCTCTTTGTGAAACTTGCATGTAACCTGCACCAGCAATAAGTGGGGCTCTACTGTGTTGTACTTTGTATTGTTTACTATTAAGCATTATTAATTATAAATTATTGAGTTAAATTAATGTTGAATTAATGTAATAAATGAAGTAGAAACAAATTGAATGATTTGAATTATAGTAGAAATAAAAACTGGTTAATAGATTTTATCAAAAGGATGTCATTTTTAAAAAAAATCATAGAAGAGTAATATAAAAATAAAAGATTGGATTATGAAAAAGCAAAATGATTTACCTTTAATAATACCATTAATTTACCATTAAATAAAGTCTAAACTTATTCTGACACAAACAATGCAAGTATGTATATGTTTATAATGTCTCTAAAGTGTGAGGTGCCTAATGGTATTTTTTGTTTTTAGCTAAAATAAAATTAGATAGGTTTGATGCATCATCTGTTGTTATTGAAGGCAGTCCTTTGGAGCTCATTTGTCACCCTCAAGGATCTCCTGCTCCAAATATCAAGTGGTTTATTGGTAAATAATGAATATTTTTCTTGATTTTTTATTTTTATGTACTTAAAGAGTCTGTCCTCCATAATGTTTCTCAATTATCTTTTTTTTTGAAATTAAATTCAAGATTTCCCACTTAAGATTTTGTTAGCAAAATCTACAATAATTGTAGTTTTGTCAGTCAGTGGTAACAAAATGAGTGCTATGTGGATTTGAAAAATAATTATGTGTACTTGGGAAAAAAAAATCTAATAATGCAAATTTTTCTACTTTATAAGAAGAAATGAACTCAAGGTAATTTTATTCGTTGATGAGACTTATAACAATTCAAGTAGGAAACAGTTTTTACTTCTCTAGTAATGAGTTTTTTTTATTTTTAAAAATTTGAATATAAATGGGTAACATCAACTTTCTCTCTCACTTTATTTTTCATTTATTTATTTTTTTAAAATTACATTTGACATCAACTGAGACACAATGCTATAAAATAATGATCTCTAGCGAAAGAAAGAATTTTTTTTTACAATACTCAATGTTTAAAGTGAAAAAACTGCAAAAAAATTCATGAAAAGCAATTGAAGTTCGTATAACTTTTAAAGAAATTGGAATTACGATAAAAAAAAACTTGCATTAAGTCAATAAATAACAGTGTTTCTTTCAGCATGTAAAATTGTAACCATGTCATTGTATTTCAGCAGACTGTTAATCTGTCTGCATACAGATCAACTTCATGTTGATCTGTCAAGACAGATCAAAAGACAGATCAACATGAAGTTGATCTGTCTTTTTAATACGAAGTTTAGTAATTAATAATTCTAGAGTGTTAAATTTTTCATTTCATTTCGTCATACTCCTTGTACATTTTACTATATGCCTTGGTAATTTTAACATTCTAAGTATTAGTTGTTGTGCAACAAAACAAAATGTAACTTGAAATTGAACTTACAAAACAGGGTTGGTGCTTATAGAGATAGTTTATTTTCTTTTGGTTTGGAATATTCATTTTTAATTTTTATTTGATAAAATTATAGTTGTTCAAAAAGCGTTTGCTTCTAGGGAATCAAGAAGTGTTTGATGATGATGAAAGAGTGGAGCTTTTGGAACATGGAGGTTTGGCAAAAGGAAGATTATTGATCCAAGAAGCAGAGTATAGTGATAGAAATCATTACACTTGTGAGGCATTTAATCAATTGGATAGAGTCAACACTACAGTTTTCATTAGAATAAAAGGTAAATTCATTTGCTTTCTAAAAGATTGCTAATAGTTTTTATACAAACTATTATGAAACTATTGATCTATTTTATACAAACTATACATACTATTAGGGAAAGTTAAATTTTTCCCCTAATTGTGTTGATAGTTTATTAATTTTAAGTAAGTTTTTGGGCTGTTTCTCCTTTTTTTTCAATTGCCATACTTTACGGATTACAAATTGGAGTTCCCTGTAGCAGAATTTTTTCGAACTTTCTGTGAGATGCCTCTTTAGTGTCTTTCTGCAAGATATTTTAAATAATGACAAATATTTAAAGTATTAAGTTCCTGATTTAAAGTAACAGAAGCATTAACTTAAAAAAAAAAAAACAAAAAAAATTGGATAAAATAAAATATTTTTTTAAAATTGAATATGTAATATTTTTTTATTCTAATATGACTAATAATCTCGAATTTTATTGGGGGGGGGGAATTCATTAATTATTTCTTTTTTCGTATTTGTGTATCATCATCACATAAAAAAAATCGTGAAATCCATACTAGTAAATATCAAAAAAAAAGATCGATGACGAAATCACGAGAATCGGACTATTCAAAAAGGGGTTACTAAATGCGTGTTTTAATTTCGAGATTCTGTTGTTGTAATAAATAATATTGTATTAAAAATATAGAATTTTTAAAACTGTGGATATCAATAGTAGTAACTGGATAAGAAATAGAGCGAAAATTTCTGAAGAAAGGAAAACCAAAATTTTTTACATCACCACTCTTTATTTTTCCTTCTCAAATGACAATAGAAAAAGCTCAAGAATTATTTTTTTTTACTCCGATGTACGAGAAAGGCATCTTTTGAATATAAATCTAAAGAAAAGTTAAGATCTTTCAAAAATTTCTGCAGAAAAGAAAACCAAAATTTTTTACTTGACGAAGGAAAAATATTTCATAAGAACTTTGTAACATTCTGCAATAATGTTGCTGTGTTGCCACAGAATTGGAGTGTTTAAATCTCCTCTCATTTTTTAAGAGGACCTTCCTCAATCGATAAAACTCAACTATCGAAGAGGTGGAGACTGGAGAGAAAATTGTAAATATATTATTAGTTCTTTGCATTTAATTTTCAAATTTACTGATGATGAATATTTACTCAATTTGGCACTATCTTTTGATTTGTGTAAAATATAAGGCCCTCAGGCCATCAGAAATTGAGATGTAAGGCGTGTGGTATTTTAGATTCGCTATAAATTTTTTTCGCAAATTTATGCCAATACAGTTCTGCAATTATGCTCTTTTTAATATTAATTTCATAATTGTTTACAAGTTTATATGTAATAAAAGAATTCTTGATAATTCAAGATATAGTTATATTTTAATAAAGATTGTGGAAATTTTTCCTTTTCTCTAAGTGTGTTCTTTTATTGACTTTTTTTTTCCTTTTAATTTCTTTGTATTTCTTTAATTATTCCCTTTTATATGTTGTATATAAAAAATATTTTTTATTGAGAAGATTAGAACAACTATAAACTCTGAATGCTTTCCAAAAAATAAAAATGTTTTCTATACATCTATATTTCCATAAAAATTAAAAATAGAATTCATTAAGTAATCAAAAATTTGCTTTTAATTTTATTTATCAAATGTGTTTATTATAATGTATTTTTCAGTGTCTACTTTTTAAACATGAAAGCTGCAATAAAATTTGTGGCTAAACTTATACATTGGTAACAAATCCGGATTTAGGCACGAAGATTTGTTTTTCAAAATATTATATGCCACTTAGCACTTTAGAATTCTTGATAATTTAAAATATAGTTATATTTTAATAAAGGTTATAGAAATTTTTCCTTTTCTCTAAGTGTGTTCTCTTTTTGACAATTTTTTTTTCTCATAATTTCTTCTTATTTCTTTAATTATTTCATTTTATATGTTGTATATTTCAAATACATTTGGAGGATAATTTAAAAAATTGTAATTTTAAAGGTTTTGGAAAGAAAAAAAGAAAGATTTTTCAAGGAAAAGACGAATTTCAGAATGGTACAAAATGCAAAAATTCAAATCATAAATTTTTTGGTTCGAATTTATTAATTTTTTTAAAAAGAGAAAGAAAACTGCAGATCTTAAAAAGAAACTGTTTCCTTCTCTTTCTTTGGCAGATTTTGGTAAGGCTCAAATTAATTTTTTTACCAAAAACGTGTTCCAGTTAAAAACAATACACCTCTTCATTTTAAGAGGAAATATTTAATGCTTGTTGTTTAAATATGTTAATTTTACTGAAAATTAAAAACCTTATAAATTACATAATTTTATGTGAAATAAAGGACATTTAAAGAAGTTTTAAAAATTAAATCAGAGTGGAAGTCTTCAAGATGTAAAGAGAAAGATGTGAATGATTGAGCTGATTATTAACTGTCTACCACTTTAATTAATGTGCACATTTACAGGTTATGCCAACTATTCATAGACAAAACAAGAAAAGAGCAGTATTTGAAAAATGAAGGAATTGTATTACATATAATTAATCGAACAGCATTGAAAAAAAGCAACATTGTAGTTTGCTGCTCACAGAGTTAGTTCATCCTTCTGAAGTTAATACATAAGTAGAGAAAAAATTGTGTTGTTTACCCCCCCCCCCCCNTTTTTTTCCCCCCCCCCCCATTTCAAAGTTCAGTTATTATTTTTTTCCCATTTCAAAGTTCAGTTAATTTTGCCCAGACCAAAAAATAAAAAAAATCAGTGGTGCAGATCCCTTTTTTTTTCCTGCAGTTACATGCTCTAAGGGATACCTTTATTTTTATGTCCCATTTGCAATTTTTGACGTTTTCATATTTGTTGTGCTTAAGTATAATCATAGGTGAATGTAATTTAAAAACCCAAGTCAAAATTCTTGATGGTCCCATCAAAAAAGTTTGATGGCCTATGTTGGTTTCAGTGAGACTCATGATGATCCAACATTTTCCATTATGTGTTCATGATTTTTGATATGCCAACAAACTTCCATCATTCCATTATGGATAATGCCATCAAGAGAAGTTTGAACCAACAATCCATGATGGTTCCAACAATGCATTTTCATGATGGTTTANTATTTCATGGTAAAAATTCTTGATGGTCCCATCCAAAAAGTTTGATGGCCTGTGTTGGTTTCAGTGAGACTCATGATGATCCAACATATTCCATTATGTGTTCATGATTTTTGATAAGCCAACAAACTTCCATCATTCCATTATGGATAATGCCATCAAGAGAAGTTTGAACCAACAATGCATTTTCATGATGGTTTAATGGGAATTCTTGTTGCTTCTCAGAAATATACCACACATCAAATAATTTAGTTTTTTTTATATTGGACCATCATAAATCAGTTCTAATTCCTACATTGAGATGATGATTGTTCCAACATTTGTTTTCTAAGATACTATGATGGAAATTTCTGATGATTCTTGATAGTACATCAATGCGTTTCTATGATGGTTTAATAATAATTCTTGTTGGTTCATCTGGAATATACCATCAAAACAATTCAGGTTTTTTTATGTTGGCCTATCATAAATCAGTCTGGATTCCTACATTGGGGTGATGGTGGTTCATGATCGTTCCAATGTTTGATTTCTAAGGAACTATGATGGAAATTTCTGATGGTTCAACATGAACAAACCATCAAAACCTATTCTTATGTTGGACCATCATAAATCAGTCTGAATTCTGCCATTGAGGGTGATGGTTACTTATGTTGGTTACCATCAAAAATTATAATGGTTCATGATGGAATTATTGATGATTACCATCAAGATTAATCATCAAAAATTTTGACTCGTGTCTAGAATAAGTAAACCTTTGTTTGAATGCAGATCATCTACAAAATGACACAAGAATGTCTGATGTTCCTTTCCTTCATTTGTAGTTGTTACTTTTTTTTGAGCATTTTATAAATTTAAGATTTCCTTCCATTTTAATATCAAGTATAATGATAGTTTATCACATTGTCATTTCTTTGATTTTATATTTTGAGTATTTGAAATTTTGTGTGTTCAAAAGTAACATGAAGTACTTTTCATGAGTTTTGCTTATTTTTTTTCTTCTAGATAAACTTGCTGCTCTGTGGCCTTTCCTTGGCATCTGTGCCGAAGTATTAATACTGTGTTCAATTATATTTATATATGAAGAAAAAAAGAGAAAAAATTCAAACGATGAGCCTGAAACTGATCTTCCCACTGAAAAGTAATTATTTTCTTTTTGTTTATTTAGGGAAGCTAACTTCTAATATGAATGATGATATTCCATTTTAAGTTGTTGAGGAAAATCAGCATTGTGGTTTAAGTAGTTTTAATTTTTCTGTTCACATATTTAACATACTCAGGTGATTCATCAAAATATTCTAGCTGTAAAACAATGTATACATACAGTAAATATAAATAAAAATTTAAAAAAAAGTTATTTCATTTTATTTTTACATGTCAGTAAATTTTGAGATTAAGTTCATCATTTAAATAATTTTTTGTTTACATCATCTACCTGCTCTATTATTTGCTTCAATATTTTAATAAATATAAGTAAATAAAATTACAGTTATTAATTTAGATATCTCTTTCCAGCTGTGAAACTTTTTTTTTCTAATTTTAAAGTAGCTTAAATTTTCTAAATTGACATGGAGAGATCCCCCGTTTTTCGCGGTTAATGGGGACCAGAACCTTCCTCAAAAACTGAAAAACCGCAAAGTAGTATTTGTTCCTAGGAATTTTCGTGCATGCGGGTACACGAATGTTTTAAATATGTAAACAGTATTTATACTTTACACATTTAAGACAAAAATTAAAACAGTATGTGTATTTACTTAAACGTGTCAGTGCTAATAAGGTTGATTGCAAAGCTTTATATAGTAATAAACATTAATCAATGTTGCTTTCTGAGAGAAGCGCGTGGTATATGTACTCTGAGTCAACTCATCTCTTTGTTGAGATGATCCTTCTCTCTCGTGCATCAACATAAAACAACGCTCCTTTCCGCAATGTGGCTGCCAACATGATTGTATTTTTTCACTTTTATTTTTTGATGAATATTTTTGAAAAACCCGCAAAGCACTGAAGCCGCAAAACATGAAGTGCGAGGTGGCGAGGGAACACTGTATTATTTTAATGAAAATTGTTGCAATTACATAGTAAATTTTGCATGATATGCCATATTTGATTTTGAATTAGGTAATATTTTATCTGTTGGTTGAAGTCAGAAGCTAATATGGTTTGATATATACATAATTGTTTCATAACAGCTTGTACAATATTTTACAGTAAAGCGATGTAAGTCAATAAAGGACCTTAGTCTAAGATACTCAGTTATCTAGTTATAAGGCCCTAGAAACTTTATATTAGTTCATCTTTTCATAAAGCCAACAAGTTCATTTTAAATTCATTTTGGTGGAAATGTATGATTTCAAACTTCTGTTAACTGTATTTTACTGGACAGTCAGCAAAATTTTATTAACTTTTAACAAAAGTTCTTTTTTATTACTTACCTAAATTTCAAAATATTTGACTTGCTAGTCTACTTTAATATTTTATGACATTTTTATTCAACTAAAACTGACATAGTTTAAAATCTTGTACGGAAGCATTTATTCAAATTGTTTTATTTAAAAAAAAGTTTCTTTATTTAAAAAGTTTCTACTAAATTTCAAAATTTTTGACTTACTCCTCTACTTTAATGCTTTTTACTATTTTTATTCAACCAAAACTGACCTTATTTGAAATCTTGTACGGAAACATTACTACAAATTGTTTTATTTGAAATATTTTTTATTTTTCAAAATTAGTAAACCAAGGCAATGTTCATTTTTTCCAGCAAGCACCATCGTGAGCAGAGAGGCAAAGGGCAAGATGTTAGACAAAGAAAATAAGAAATGTCAGGCTCAACTGGTCGATATCGTGATATTTTTTAATTATTTAATCATTCACTTGTTTTCTTCAGTTCATTTTTAATACCAAAGAAAAAAAGAAATATTTACACCCTTCATTTCATCTGTTATGTGGAATTATCATCGAATCTCCTTTTATAGTGTTACATCTTTTTTTTTTCCTCCTTTTTTTTTCAATGTTAAGTTTTTAATATTTATTCAATTACAAAGTACAACATGTTGAGTTATTATTTTGAAACAGGTGATTTCAATAACGATGCATAATTACAACGAGAACATTAGCAAATGCGAGTTTCTGTGTCTTTGTGTGTTTAACGTAGTTGATTGTCGTGCATAGAAAGGGTTTCATATTCTAACTTAACTAGAAAAAAACCTCTCATTCTTTTAGTGTGAATGTGCAATAAATTATATGCTCACATGTCTTTAAAAACAAAAATGTATTTTTCATATGAATGAAATTTTTTTGTTTGTTGTTGCAAATCATGGTCCTTCATGCTGTTCAATTTATTAGGGATGGCTGATTTGTTTGTACATATTATTTTGTTGGTATTTTCAGTCATTTACTGATTGTTAGCTGTTTCACTTCATTGGGTATCATTGTTAATTCTTTTCTTAAAATATAATTTTTGTAAAGAAATATATGAAACTATATGTTAATGAGATATATAAATTTAGATTAAATATTTGCCATAATTAAGTTTTTTCAGTCACTCTTGAAGTTTCTCTTATCAAAATTTAGGTTTATCTTTTATCCTAGAAAATGATGAAAATTGTTTATTAATTTTTTTGTTACACTTTTATTTAGTATAGTTACCTCATAGCATTGTTTTATGAGGGCAAATGTCAAGAGAGTATGATGTGAAATATTTTTAACTTGAGAAAAACTTTATAGACTTGTTTTTTTTTTTTTTTTTTTTAATTTTAGAAATTTTAATAATGTGTTTCTTTCAGCTGTTGACTTATACACTTTACATACCAGAAATTTGCTATCTCACCATCAAAAATAGGGGGTATACAGTTATGATTTTAATCTATTCTGAACTTTTTCTCTCTATTCATAAAAATCATATTCTCAAGCATAATAAGAGGAAGTCTGAATGATTAGGAGTCTTAATTTTATTAATTATTTGTATTTTAACTAATGTTACTGTACTGTTCATAATTTAGGAACTTTGTTGTCCCTTCATCTTATTAGAGCTATTCAGTTTAGAAAATGTGATTATTTTTTTTTAAATTGATCTTATATAATTAGTCTATATACAACACTGTGATAGAAAATATTTTTTTCTCAAATTTGAAATGCAATGATTATAAAAACACTATTCAAATTATGAAGTTTCATATTTTAATGCAGAAATTGATGTTTCAGAAATTATATTTTCTTAATAAAATATAGCTGTCCTAAAAATTCAAATTTGTGAAAAGTGCAGAAGATAGAAGTAAATCCTATGTACTGAAAATGTGTACAAAGCTATTGCAAAAAATATTACCATTGATTTCTTAATATGATACCTGAGACTTGTTAATTCAACGCCAATTAAACTGAATATTTGTGTGTTATCTTCAAATCAGATATAATCAAGGAAATATAATTGTAACCTTAATTTAGTTTGTTGAAAATGTTTTGTTCAAAAGTATGCCTGCCTACAACTCAAATTTCAGCATCAACATTGAGTAATGCTTTCTTATTTGTTCTGTCATCATATTTTCTGCTCAATATATTTTTTGGAAATATGTTGCTCTACATGCAATACATAAGTTTTTAACATTTTATCTCCATTTATTATTCTCTATAAGCACCTTCTTTTTATTATTATTTTATTAGGAACCAAAGCTTCTGTTTCTAATTATTGTATTTTAAATAATAAAAAGTTACATGTACAAACAAAGCAATTAAATTTTTTCTATATATATTGTAATTTATTCAACATTTTCATTAAAATCAGGTATATTCTACTTTTTTCCATCAGAAACATGTTTCAAATAAAGCAATAACACAAAAAAATATTTTAAAAAAATTACTTTTCTAGTACATTGACATAAATTTTGCATAAGCAACAAAAATAGCAATAAAAATATTGTTACCTAAAAATGTCATTATGCTTGAAAATTTGATATTTTTTAGTTGGATTTGTTCAAAGTTAAAAAACAGTTGTTACTTTTTTTAGTTTTTACATTTTTTTATTGTTATTTTTAATTTAACAAGGTTGTAATTTTAATCCATATAATTTATTGTGAAATAAATTTTCAGCAAAAATGTTCAAATATATTTAATGTATTTGTAGTTTTCAATATTTTTATTAAGTTACGCAGTTTATTATTTCATTATTATAGCATCATTGTTTCTTCAATTCTTGTGTGCCAAAATAAAATGACCGATAATATATATATATATATATTTTAATTATTGCATATATTAATTGGATGGACTGAAAAATATACTACATCTGCTTCTCAATATTTCATCTTAATAGGAATTTCACATTATATTTGTCAACTGATAAATCAAATTGTTGTTTGGGATCTGCATCCAAGCTCAATTGAAAAGTAATTTATTAGAAAACAAAAAACGAAAATTGCTTTAATTTAAGTATCACTATTAAATACTGATTTTTTTAAATTTTGTTTCATGATAAGTACATTTTAAATTTGATCATAACCTTTCAACTAATTAATATGCATTGAACACTATTTCTACTATTGTTTTAGGTTGCAAGTATGACACTTTTGAAATTTACTTAAAATTGATCATCGTAACAAATCATGGTCCTTTTAAATTTCGCCTGTTATGGTTTTCAGATATATTTTGAACTTTAGAATGTAGATTCTTTGTAACTAAACTCCTTAATTAAATTCGTTTTTATAGTATTAAGTTATGCATGAAATTGAGTGAAATTAATTTGTATTAAAAATAGAGGAACTTGTACTGTTAAAGATACAATGAATAAAATTTAATTTAAATTGAATAACATTGTGATAACTTTAGACAATTAGTATTATAATCTGATGCATAGTGAGAGTAGTTTATTTTTTATTTGTGAGTTTGTTTTTTTAAAGTGTGTGATGTTTAGTCATATTTTTCCTGGTTCTGAGATTATTTATTACATTTCTATTTTTTTTTAAATTATGAAATATTACATGAAACTTTAGAGTATTCAACATCTGTCATAAGTTGACCCCAAAGTCTCAATATCCATATAAATATCTAAATTTCCATTTGTGCTAATTATTTTTAGGAATTTCAAAGGATGTCTAAAGCAAGACACTTTGATTATATAAAAAGCCAAAAAAGTTTTCATTAAAAAAATTGCATTTCATAAATCTACAAATAATAGTTTTTAAACTTGAGTGTTCTCTCTCCAGGGGTGGAAATGAAGAAAATTTTATCATGAGTCCATAGGATCAATAAATAAACGATATACACGTTTGTCTGTTGATATTTTTTTTTAAATGTTAATAATGTGAATTCAAAGGAAAAATGTTCACAGTTATGTTGAAATAAGCATCTTTGTTACAATAGCACAGATCTTAACCTGAAAATTAAAGTAAAAAAACCAAAACAGCATTTATAGTGATAGTTGGTCTGAGGGACTGTTAATAATAATTAAATGATATTTCGAGTCACGTTTTAGTGGTCCTGGATCAACTGACCACCATCCATTTTGAGTCCTGGTCCTCAATCAATGATTAGATGCCTTTCACTCTTTCCTCCTCTCTCCCCTTCTCTACACACCACCATTTAAATTATCAAAACTTATAATTTAGTTCAACCTGTATCTTTTTAAATTCTGAAGTGTTGCCGGAATGACTTGTAGAACAGAATATCTTCTTTTTGCTCTTGTTCGAATCACACGAGGGGCTACCCACTTGCACCAGTCTGATAGCGTGCTGGTGATTCAGAAATCAATCATCGGTCAAGAGTTTGGGATGTGGAGTCAGAGTTGCTTGTTTTTTTGTGGTGAAAGAGCTTTGAAAAACATCCTTTAACATAGTGCAGCGATATTTCACTTTTGAGTTGGTTTCAAGTCCCTTACTTGAATATCCGTAACATTAATTAAATGTTCAATGCTGGTTGTATGAATGCCATTTTAGATGTCACAGTCAATAGTGTAATGATATCACTGGACTATTATCATTCAATCAATTGACGTAATATAGTGGTTGTTAAATGGCAACCAATTGTTTAAACTATTTTTGTTTGAAATGAAACGTATTTCTATTGTTTAATGTTAGTAACAAATTGACTGTTTCATAACCGTCGTCGAACAGCCGACCCAATTTTTCGCGTTTACGACTACTGATTTTAGACTCACCTTTGTAATTTTTGATGGAACTGACCTGCATTTGAGTTACATGGGAAGGAAAACCCCAAAGGCCTCCCACGGTTAGCCTGACGGCAAGGGGATTCTAACCCATGATCAGACTACCATATTTTATGCAGCACTTTAGTCGGTGCAAGTCGGATGCAGAATTTGTATCGTCCAGCCATTGCTGGAATTCGAACCCGGTTCACCTCGTCGGAAGGCGAACGGTCTATCCCCACGAGCCACCACGACTCGAAATAATTTATCTGTACCTACCAGGTTTCGAACCTGGGACCTTCTGGGTGTTAGGTGGATGTGATAACCACTGAACCATAGTTGATTGATAAATTTTCAATAATTAAGCAGAAAAGGTCAGATTTATCAGGTTACAGAAAGGTATAATCAGAAATGACATCAGCTTAGACATCGCTATTCAATGAAGACCAAATTCTTTAAAAAAAGTAGCTTGGGGACAGGTGGATAAAAAGATAATAATAGTAACTAAATAACATCGTACGTTTGAAGTCGCATGACTTATTCTGGGGTCAACATTTTGTGACTTACTGTCACACCAAAGCAAACTCTAGTTATATTTATTGTATGGTTAACTTACTATTGACCACATGCTTTTGTATTTAGAAACTTATTTTCAGCTTCAAAATAGCTTCATTATTTTGTCTTTTATTAATTTCAGTTAAATGAAAGTTAAATTTAAAAAATTAAATAAAATAATCAAATTGAGCTTAAATCATACAATAATGTTTAAAAAAAAGTATATAATCTGCGAGAGTGAATGTATGTATATATATATGGTTATAGATATCTATGTTAATCAAATAATGTAATAAGAAGATCAAGTTTTTAGTTTTGTTATGTGTTTGTCAACTTGTGAGCAGCCTATTTTTCTCACTTATTAAAGCTGTTGCCAGAAAATATTAAAATGTAGGAAAGCTTTGAATTTTTTTTTAATTTGAACTATGATAAAATTAGCTTTCAAATTTTACACAGTTAATAATTGCTGTGAAAGAAATGAATGGTCTTGTTAGATCTTATATCATTCATTATAATTATGGTTATGTTTAACTTAGTATTTTTTTGTGGTGGCATAAATAAATAAAAACTAATTCAATGCTTTAAAGTGGATGAAACACAATTGTCTGAAAACGTCATTTTATAATTTTTTTTTGTTTCGCTTTATCTCTAAACTTTTAACAACCTGAAACTTAAAATTTTTGTTGTTGAATAAAGTAGGATATTTAAACTATCTTTTCTTGTTATACCGAAATGAAAAATTGAGTGCATTTCATTCAAGAGTAATAAAGCTTTAAAAAATTATAATTTTCTAAAAATAAATGAATAAATAAATTCTAATTCCAAAAAGGGCAATTTCCCTAAATTATTTTCAAACTGAAGCTTCTGTTGAATAATAAATTGTGTTAAGACACTTTTTTTGTAATTCAAGCAATCATTTGTTTTGACAAAGTTTATTCTAAAATAATTCTTACCACCGTATAATATGCATTTCTATTATAAATTAATAACAAAAATTTCTTTATTTTTCGAATATTTTCAATACATCTTAAGTTACTAGTATACTATGGTTGAATTAAGTAAGATACGAGTATTCTATTAAGTTCTTTTTGTAACCCCAATCATTGATTTAATATGCCATTTTTTTTTATCAAAATTGAATTTTATTTATTTATTTTTTTTAAATCTATAAATTGCACATTTAGATTGTGTGAAATTTGAAAGCTTATTTTAATATTATATTTCTTACAAAAAAAAATTATTGTTGTGCTTGCCTGTATTTTAACATTAGGGAAGAACAGCACTTAGAAATAAAAATAATTTCTATTGAAACTGAGGAATTAGTGTGTGTACAGAACGTACTTTAAATTTAGAAGCTTTGTCTGTCTGTATATACTACAGTGATAAATTATTTTATGCAGAATTATTTATATAAATGAATATATATATGTACAGTCAATAATGTGTCGAAATAGACAGTATTTTGTACACTCAAAAGCAGGTATTGAAGATCTATGTTTTTGTTTGTGGTTGTTTTTATACATTGTGGATTGGTTTCATTTATATTTGATAATGCGTAGTCATTTACTTCTTGTGAAAACCAATTACATATATCTTTTTTCTCTCTTCTTTTTACTTTTTTCTGTTGTATAATCCACACATCAGAGTTTCCACTTCAAATGCTACTAAATTCTTTTCTTTTTGAATTGTGCTGGAAATGAGCGTTTTGGTATACATCATTTATTAAAAGAAAATTTATTGAAATCATTTAATGAATGTATGATTTTTTTTTACTGTTTAATGTTGGTGTTAAGTTTTTCTTTTCTGCAAATATGATGTTGTGTCATTCAAATTACTAACGATCTTTAAAGGTCATTTAAAAGTTGAGTACGTAGGCTAATCATGAGAGGTTTTGGTTGGTTTCTTCTTTGTGTAATGCAAATGGGGTTCTTCATTTTAATTATCTTTTTGTGTGCGTATGAGGTCATACATTTTACATGCCATCCTAGCTGGTCACGTGCTGCTGTCCTTTTTGATTCCCCAGCTGCGATATCCTAGGACGTTCTCTTTTTAA